CAGCTCCCCACGCAAATGGGAAGGGTGTAAAGGAGCCTTTCATCTCCCCAGCACCGGCTGCAGAGGACTGCAGGTCAGGGTGTGACAGGATTACTCAGGACTGTGCCCACACTAGTCTGTTTTATTTTTAAAAAGATCTTGGGGCTGCACACTAGCACAGCTCCTGTGTTACAGCTGGTGTGTCATCTCAGCGTGCTGAAAGCAGGTCTCTAAGTCAGGGTGGTTTTAAAAAAAAAAAAAAAAAAAAGAAAAAAGCCCATGCACCCACGTCCTGTCTACAGTAGGGCAGCAGTTGTGTAATGCATGCAGCTCAGAGTAGGTCTCTGCATCTCAGCAGTAAAAACAGAGAGGTTGTGTCTCTGTTGGGACTCAGACTGTTACTAGCATGGGGAAGCTGCATGGGGGCTCACATGCACGGGAGCTTCTTTCAGCAGCAACTTGCTTAGACAAAGCCGCAAGCAAAGGGGCACTGTGCGGAGCTGTGCCTTGAAAGACTGGGACTTAGAATAAACTCCAGGTAACAATCCCAACAGAGCGAGTTGCTTGACTTCATCTCTGATGGAAACATGGAAGGACTTGTTCTCCTGTTCCCCACAGAAAGGTTGGGAAGGCTCCAGGATCTTCCACCAGCTTATTGGTTTTGTTGGCAAGCCTCAGTCCAGCTGGATCAGACAAGTCCCCTCATGCAAGACCCAGACTCCACTGATCCCCTTGGAGGCAGTCTCAGCAGAGATGCTCAGGAGACACTGCTCACTAGGACTAACTGCCCTGCTTGACTAGGTGCTGTTTCACTCAAGCAAAGGTATCTGGGGCAGACAGCAAAAGAGGAATGACTTGCACTGAGGCTCATCCAAAACTGACACAGGTACCCTGCAAGACCACCTCCAATAGTGGTCTCCAGTAGTGGCTAGCGCCTATGTCAGGCAGCCTTTTTGTAGGAACACGCACAAAAATTCTGACCGTCTTCCGGCACATGAAGGTCTGCTGCGTCCTTCCTCCAATGCACTAAAGAAATCTGAGCTTCCTCACAATAGCAAGTGCTAGACAGATCTTCCTTTACAAATTTATCCCATCTCCTTGTCAGCAATGAGCAACATACATAATCTATCACCTCATCTGCTCCAGACCCTACAGCTCTTAATGGGGAATTGCTGCCATCTAAATTGGACTGCAAACTCCACGGGCAAGAGCCAGTTCTGCTGACTGTTGGTAAAATGCCATACGCGCCTCTGTGTCATAATAAAGTCTAAAATACAGCATGACCTGAGCACAAGGTAATTCCCTTGGCAAGTGACAATGAGAATTTCTGCTCCTTATTGAAGCTCATCACATGTAACAGGCCAAAAGGAGTGTCAAGCTGGCCCTGACTGGGGAGATGATGGACCACCAACACCACGAGCAAGAAAAAAGCAAATGAGATCTTAGGAGATGGCCGTCAAGGTATTTCCAGGATATACTAGGGCAGGTACATGAAAGGACTCCTACAGAAACCATGGAAAGGGAGAGCCCATCATCACTAGAAGAGTTTGGCTTGTAAGGCCTGGCAATATAAAGGCTAAGCGTGGTTGTGATTGCAGCCTATAAATATACCCGGGGAAAACACCCGGGAGGGAAAAGCACCATTTAACCTCAAGGGCACAAGAGCACAAAAACAAATGGATTGAAAAAAAACAGCCATGAATAGATTTAGGGTGGAAGGCCCTCGCCATCAGAGCAGCTGAACTCTCTCCCGGGGGAGTAAGAATGGCAAGAATACCAAGAACTCCTTTTTCAAGTGAAGTTCAACCAATTTATGAAAGGGGCCAGAAGGAATCTGATGATTATGACAGCCTGAGATAGGACTCTATTGCCCATGAGGAACCATCTCGGTCTCAAGTTAAAAACAAAAACCCACATCTAAATACCTGAGGTGACCTTGTGGCTCCCTGGCTGTGCAGGGGAAGAGATGCTAAGGAGGAGAGACAAAAACAAGCCAGGGAAAAAACATGAGAAGGAACACTGAGGGGGAGAAAAGGTGCACACATAGCCTTGCACCATGACAGCCAGGCCAGTTTTCCTTGCCGGAGTGCTGACCTGGAGCACCTCCAACTCCAGCAAAAGGATATTAATTTCTCCGGCCAAGAGCAGGTCTGCCATACAGTGCCTGGGGTGAGTCCCGTTCTGTCCTCTGTCAAGGTCAAGCAGCGGGCGGCTGTGGGGAAACAACACCAGGTCCCAGAGAGATGCTGGTCCCGTTCCTTGCACGGGGACACCTTATGGGGCACGTAGCTGAGCTCAAAGAGAGAGCCAACAGCACCTGGGTTACACTGAAGCAGAGTAGGTGCCTAATAAAAAACACCTTTCCTGTCCTCCCTCTCTCCCTCACACCTTTGGGAAGCCAGAAACCTGCAGTGTTTGCATGAAGTCATAAAGGGGAAAAAAAAAAAAAAGAGAGAGAGAGAGAGCGCAATAGAGAGAGAGAGAGAGAGAAAGAGGAAATTCTGTCACAGCGATTAGGAACGGAAAAGTCTTTTTAGGTCACATCATGTCCATCATCCTCGGGCGTGCATGCTGGCTCCACTTTACCCGGCTCAGGAGCTGGGGGTGCTCGTACCCCCTCACCCAGCTCCCGGCAGCAGCGTGAGCAGAGAAACCCCGCTCGCCGCGACAACGAGCGCGATGTGCCGTACCGTAAATAAGCCCAGACGGACAGACAGACCGGGCGACCGCGTTAATCACATCCGCAGCTGTCTCCGGGCACAGCGCTCTCCAACTACCCTCCGCGTCGCCAGCAACCACGGAAAAGGGGCATCTCCACCCGTGGCAGGAACGGGCCGGTGCCGCGGGAGCGCAGAGCCCTCTTTCCCCCTCGCCGTGGTGGGGCAGGATGGGGGCTGGCACTGCCCACCGCAGGCCAGGCAGCCCTCTCCCATAACCACCGCCCTAAAAAGGTGGCCCTAAGCCACCTTCTCTTTTCTTTGTTGTTTCCCCCGCGCTGTATTGGGTTTTTTTGTTGTTATATGTATTTATTTATTTTTTTTTTTAAAG